TCCTATTTTAGTTTACAGAATAAAGAAACTGAGAAGACAGATGTGTTGGAAGATACATATAACAGCTCTTCTGTTTGAAGAGGATGACAGTGAAGTTCATTCTTAATCTGTTTTCTCAGTTTTCACTATTAAATGACTAAATTGAAGGCAGCGCAAAATCCTTCAAAATAAGAAACATTTCAGTACAATACCTCTGCATACCAATATGGCCTTTCCTCATCTGTGAGCTGATTTTACCTGAACAATGGATGCTATTTTAGCTCTAAAAGAACTAACCATAATATCATATTCCTCACTGTCAAGTATATAGTTATCACGAAAACAGAATCCAAATGTCACTGCTGTAATTTAGAGAGAGAAGGCTTGGGAGAGAGACGCTTTGAGCAGCACCTTAAATCTGACATAACAAAGCCAGCATAATTGTTTTTTGTATAAATTATGTCTCTTACTATATATTTGTACTCAAATACTATCTTCAGCCTAAGTTACAGCAAAGGTGCCAGCCTCAGGATGAATACTTATACACCTGATTTGACACTTCAACTGGACTTGCTTTGCCTTGCTATGAGCTGCCATCAACTTTCATTACTGATTAAACTTCTATTTTTCCTTGTATTTCTTATCAGACTGAGACAGTAAAACCATGCAGCAAGAATCAGGACTACAGCTATATTAAACTAATGGAAAATTCTATGCTTATAGATGAAGATATAGCTGTCATTAGAAATTAAAGTTTTAGTTGCTATAATAGTTCTGGTTATACAGGACCTAGGTGAATTTCTCACTGGAGACATGGGAACTATCAGCTGTACAAAGTCTGTTGAAGTTTGTCCCAAATTTCAACTTCAAATGCTAACTTAAATGTCAGTTCTTTATAGATGATACAATCGTGGCCTAGTATCCTATTTATGTCAAAGTCATCCATGGCAGGTTAGTAATTTGCCACAGCTTTAATTAGAGAAGTAGTTATTAATACAGTGCAGTTCAATGTCACCTCTCATCTAATGATCCCAAAGTGGGCATAGATTTGTTTAGCAGTTGGAATGGAGAATTTAGACACCTGGATTTTAATTAGTCCTTGTTAAATATTTTGCTAATTCTTCTAGTATCACCTCCACAGTGCCAAACAGTGGTCAGCCACTACAGGAGACATAGCTGCTTAGAGGCTACATGAAACAGGATGCTCATCCTAGTCCAGAAAGAGTCTTTTTTCTTTTTCTTGGTGCTCACTTCAGCTGCTTCTGAGGTAGCTGACAAGTCATGTTATTCAAATACATGTTCAGTCAAAAAACTTGTTTAAACTTAATCAAGTGTAGTTGCTTAACGCTTGAAATTAAGAAACTTCGCACCTTCATCTCCCCTCCTAAAGCTTAAGAGTCACTTACTCAACCAAGAGGAGTTGTAGAAAAAACAGCTCTGTTTTGGGATGATTTTTGAAATGTAAGGATAGATGGCACTACAGAAGCGCTTACATGACTGCATTGATAAACATCTATTAAATATTGGAATTAATATTGGAATATTGAGAAATACTGTCCTCATCTGTATATGCAGAGCAAGTGAGTTAACAAATGTGAGTAACTTTCCAAGATCCACTCTACTGACCTCTGTGTCACTCATTTACACTCCACAGGTTCTTCTCGTAACTTGCACACTTAGAGAACGTATTGCATAAAAAGTAGGGCACAGCAAATGGAAGCTCTGTCTATACATTTATACAGTTTTTATCTTTAAAAAACTGTCAGTTCTTTCATAATGTCTGAAAGTATGCCAGATCAAATCACTATCTATCACAATGCATGAAGTGAAAACACATAGCGTGACCAGAGAAAAGCCCAGGCCCTTAAACCCAGTACACGTCTATCCTTTGGAGCACTGGCAGTTCCAGCAATGGGGCTAACAGCAACCAAGCTGCATGCTATTGCTCCATCTTAGGAAAAGCAACTGTGAAAGTAGTACAGGCTTATTGTGTGGATTAATAAAAAGATTAGAATTAGAACATAATTAGAACAGCTCTCTGTAGCTGGGAATAATACTTAGAAATCTTAAACCATCCTATTCAATGACAGAATCAATGTGATTCTTTAATGCATACGGCATGACTGATGTAAAATCCAGCTATGAAGAATGCATAATTGAATATTTCAAAAATAGTGAGCAGGAAAATGACTTGAAATGCAAAAGTTAATGATGACAAAGAAGCTTTGGCGTGTTAAGGGAAGGACAGATGAGGAAATGACATATAACTTACACTAGTTTCTCAATGTGTCCCTTCTAGCAAAAGAAAAGAAATTTAAAGCTACTGAATTAGCATCCCACGAGACAAGACTTGAACTAATGAGATGCTTGTTTGGCAAATGAACCTTCAAATCCAAGAATCAGCTTAGATTTGACAGCTGAAATGACATACATTCATAATCCAGAAAAAAAATTCAGAGGTCAAGGTAACATCTACCAAAGGCAGAGTCAATAAACCATGTACCAAATTTGATGTTGCTACCGTGAATTGCTCTTCTCAAAAGAACACCCCAAAACCAGGCTTGATTCAGAGAAATGGCAAAAGAAAGCTTAATTAAGCTCCTGAGTGTTTTCAAAACAGAATGTGAGATACAAGGAAAGGTTACTCAAAAAATAGAATGAATGATGAAGTGTAGCAGATAAGAACAGTTCTGCAAAGTTCTTCCGTGTTACTTTGAGCAAGCTCTATTTTTAAGAGATGCACACTTCTTTTGAGAGAGAAAAGATTCTGATTTTGAAGTAACTAGCATTTTTCCTTCAAGCTTCTAATTCATTTTTCAAATTCCTAAATATCGTCAGCACTTCTACTGACAATGTCATTGATACTAAATATAAACAGGCTTTAGTATCTTCTTTCTAACAAACAAACAGGAGTTTCCTTCACTTCTCTACAGAAAAGAGATATTTTCTGTTATAATGTCTGACAGGCACAGAAGTTGTACTTATTTTTTTCTGTGCAAAAAAAGAAAGAACAAAACCACCTATTCCCTCTGAAAACCAATTTTCTGTATGGGTTTTTGAGGCTTTTTGAAATTTTAGTTTGTTCTTATTAACACTCATGAAAATGAGTGTCTACAGCAATTGCTATAAGAATTGACTGATACTAAGACTTAAAAATGAGGCATTGCTGGGAGACAGATTTTCAAGTGTGTGAAGTCTGCACTCATAGAATTACTAAGAAGCTAACCACAAGAAGATTTTCCACAAAATTTAAGAGTATGATTGTTGGTTTTTTTTCTTTTTTTAAAATTTGCTTCTAAAATCTACAGCAATATTAAAGTAAGTTATAGAAAGGTTATTGCTCAGTTCAGAGTTTGTTTTGTTTTGTTTTGTTTTTAATGTTAAGTAATAACTTATTTCCACAAAGCACACATGCTAATTGGCTATTTTTTCTTTTCCTTTCTGTTACTTTGGAAATGTTTTAGTGTAGATTGACTTGAGTAGACTTGGTAATGTTATATATTTGAACATGGTGCTAAGTAGCCTGTTTTAGAAACTGATGACCCATAATTTATTTGTTAAAAAGATTCACTGCTATTTAAATTCAGATCTTTTCATGGAACCGTTCCTCTCTCTTTCTCCCTCTCTCCTTCTCTCCACACTCTCTTTTTTTTTTTTTTTTTTTTTTCCCCCCAAGTGGGAATAGTTTGGAGGAAATTTATAATTAAAAAATTAATAGCTGGCATTTGACAACAGCGTCAAAAACGTTGATGTCTCTGCCAGCAATCTGAACTACCAGGATTTGGTACTCATATTCCTGGTGTGCAACATTGGCAAAGGGCAAAAAGTGTTTAGCAGTCATCTGCAGATCTATTTACTGACCACCAAGGGGCAGGAATGCATTTCAGCCCGTACTGTCCATTAAGCATGATATTAAAAGAGCCCAACTAACTTGAAGAGTTTGGTTTTCTTTTCTATTTTCTCTCTCTTTTTAAAATAAATTTATTTATTTTTTTAAGTATCAGTGCATATCTCCATCAGGTTGCAACAGGACAAAGTCCACCCATGACAAAAGGATAATGTCCATGCATTTCTGAATTTTCTTGTTAAGCCCTTTGAGAAGTACCAGCTCACAGACTGGTGAGATGTGAACAAGACCTGCTCTGCAGCTGAATGGACACCCCTGACACCACCCTTCCAAATCAGAGGGCATGTTTCATTTAAAACCTGCTTATTTCTAACCCATCTACTTCTCTGCCTCGTGAGGCTACTGGATGAACTGTGTGAAAGCAACAAGGAACAGAAGGAACAAAGGCACTGGGGTTTGCTCAAGAAAACTCTTCTTTCCCAGAGGGGATGGAAAAAGTGGGGCAAAAGGTTAACCTACCAAGCCTGCCTTCTTCCGCGCCTGCTGCAGCTCCTGGATGAAGTTTTGTAGCTCCTTCCCATCCATGTACCCATTGCCTACAACAGAAAGAGTTACGCTTGTGGTCACCGCTCCCTCCAAACTCTCTCCGCTCTTCAGCGCTGCCAGGGATGTCTCTAGCCCGCGTTCTCCCTGCGGAGCTGCTCCCGCACTCCTCGCCCGACCTCAACCCCAGCCGTGCGGTCGTGCCAGCTGCGGGATGGCGGCCAGGGAGTGGTGGGACCCCCAGCCTCCCCCTCGCACACCCCCCGCCGGCCGCCCCCCGCCAACCCGGGAAGGGGAAAGGAGTCACCGTCGGAGTCGTAGTGGTGCCAGATCTCGAAGAACTGGGCGGCCGAGATCTCCACGCCCTGCAGGTGCGTCTCCGCCGTCATGGTGGGGGTGCGGAGGGGCTCAGTGGGGGCGCTGTCCGCGGTGCTGACTGTGCCCGCTGCCGGAGCGGCGACGGCGGCGGCGGCAGCTGCGGCGGCGACGACTCCGAGGGCTCCTCCCGCCGCCGCCCCGCCGAGGGCTATTTATGGGGCTGGCCCGGCACGGCCACTCCCCCCCCCCCAGCACTCCCCTCCCTCTCCGTGGGCCTCGGCGCTGCCTCCCGCCCTGGGCGGGGGTAGCCGGAGTTCTCCCGCCGGCGGCAGGGGCCCCGAGTTCTCGCCAATCATCCCTGCCCCCGGGCAGCTGCCTTTCAGTGCGAGGTGAGGGGTACTCGTTTGGGGCCCCGGGCAGAGACAGAAGTTGTTATGGGCCCCTCGCCGTGGTAGAGTGCTCATGAGATGCAGAGGATCTCCCTGTTCAGCCATTGGGCTTCTGCCTGGGTAAGAGTCCTGTGTGTCCGAGCCCTGCAGGAAGTCCCAGTGCAACAAAAAAACCCACATGAAACAGTATGTGGAAGCAAGGAATCTGCTTTGATCACACCATTTTTGGCTCCATAGCCTGGGAACAGAGATGGTGTATTTAAATATTTGGTCCTAATGTCATCCTAGCAGGTAGGAATGGAATACCACATAAGCTTACTCTTTCTCACTGCAGATGCTACCACAGCCTCTTCTAAATGCTAAGAGTTATTTTGGTATACAATCTTTGAATATTTACCCTCCTCTAGCAGTAGATTGGCGTGAGGAGACGGAGTAACTTATCAAAGATCTTCCTTCTATCACAGGATAGCATGGTGTTCGACCAGTAATAATGATTAGGTTCCCTTTGGGATGGATCATTTCAGTCTTTAGATTTACTTGGGTGCTCTTAGATGCTAAACCTGCCTTTCTTTCTCCTACAGTGTCCCTCGCACGCTACATTGAGTTAGCAGAGTTGAATGGCCAGGAGGGTTGGCTGACAGAACATTGCCAAATACCATAGGTAGCACAGTTAAGATGGGGGATGAGAACAGCTGGGAAGCTTGGGAATCTCCTTGTGTTAAGTAACTGACATAAGCAGCAGTAAGTAGTATGTTAAGTCTCATATGTAATGTGAGGACCAAAACTGATGGGATAATGCATAACAGAAGATGGCAAAAAGCCAAGGGGAATGGATAACCCAGCAGGATGAGAGGAGGATGCTTAGTTAAAGTCTGACATGTCCTGAGAGAGATTTTAGTAGATTGGGTGGCTGAAATCTTGTATGCATTATGGAACAAGGTGTGGGCATGGCAATTAAGTAATCATGAGACCTTGTACTTGATTCCCTTCATCTTTCCATTCTCCTGTTTCTCCACCTGTTATGTGCAGCTTTCACTCATTCTCTTGCTGCTATTTGGCTCTTCAAGGAGATATATCATGTAGGTCTGTGTTTTGTGATCTGCTGAACAAAGCATAGGTAAAATGAAAGGCACAAGTATTTGATAATTCATCTCTTTAGTTCGAAATATTTGTAAGTATTAGTGAAAAATGTTCATAAGGACTTTACAGCCACAAATACCTTTATGCACTTTTGAAATGGCTACAGTAACTTTAAATATTTACTTTCTATCTGTTTTTGTGCTGCCTTGTAAGAAATAAATAAATAAAAAATCATGGCTATATTAATTTCCCATATAGGCATTATTTTTCAGAAACAGCTTTCTCAGAGAAGTAGACTTCAATGGGAGCCAGATCCTGAAACTTCTGTGCCTCTACATCTTGCCTTGAAATGAAAAATCGCATGCTAATGTATTTCAAGAAAGTAACAGTGGTGACAAGAAAACAGAGCATTCATGAGGCTTTTTTTTTTCTTTGCTTTTTTTTTTTTTTTAACAAGAGCAAGTACCTGGCAGGGCCCTGGCCATGACAGCGGAAGTACAGTGAATTGAGCCTGGGACTATCCTTTTACCTGGGAAAGACAACAGGGTGCTAGTGACGCAAGGACACTGGAAGGAGACAAAGGTGGAATTGGCATTTCCATCATTTTTACACAGAAGAGATCTGTGCCAATGAGGCAACCTCTTGTATTTGCCAAGCGTATTGAATTACTAAGTTCAGTGCAGAATTTCAGCTTCCAACAGCATGCTCAAATGGAAAGTGAGTGTTTCAACAGTTCTTTGACTTGCATCTTATGTTGATTTGCTCCTTGCTGTGCACCATTTTCAAATGGCGCATCAAACCTTGTCCTTGTTACCTGTCACTGACCCAGAAGACTGTTTCTGGATGATAGAGAAGAATTCAGCATTGTTTGGAGCCAGCCCAACCTTTCTTATCTGATTTCTCAGGCTTTTAAGAGAAAAGGAGCTGTAATATTTACATTTTCAAAAGTTCTCAGAATAAAATATTTTGCATAGGTCACATGTGGCCAAGATGGCTTGGAAAGGTCTCATAGAAACTTTGAAAATACTCTGCTTCCTCTGACCAGGAACGTGCATAATCATGTGCAGGTAGGATACTTGGATGCACTGACATATCACTGTTTTAACAACTACAAAATCACTATTGTCTACAGAGCATTTATGTATTATTGTGCATTGTGTCTAAAATAGTGTATTGAAATGAGTGGGTTTGTATGTTCCTGCTTTGGCACTTGAAGTGATTCTGCACAGACATAAAAGTAGCAGACATTTCCATGCAAAAATAACCACTTATATAACTAACTGCACATCATATTTTCATGATTAATGAATTACCAAGCCACCATTCATATTTAATCCTACTGGACTCTGCTTCTTATGCAAAACTAAATCAGAAACTGGTCATTTCAATTCCATGAAGCTATTAATTTCCATTGGAAGAGAAAGCACTAGAAAAGGTCTAAAAATGCAGATATATACAGGATGTGATCCATAACCCAATGAAGTCCATGCAAATTTTTGCAATGACTCTAGAGGGCTTTATACAAGGACAAAGTTCTTCATATTTTCAGAAATTATATGTGTGGTAATGTGCATATTCCACACACTAATTAATGAATTACTTCACCAAGAAGCATAAGCTTTGTCATTCATTTTAGCTAGAGCTACTTGAAGTTCTCATTACAAAAAAATGAGCCAGATCCATATCCAGCAGAAGTCATGGAAGCTACAGTGAAGCCAGCTGGGAACTTAACCCAGAATCTAAGTGGATATGATTTTCTTTGAAAGCATTTGTTGTTCATAGATGTTCATCAAATGCTTTTAATTAATATATTTTGCATTTAGACTTTCTGAAACTTTCTAGTTATAACTACCAGACTTCTGTCTTCAGTCTCTGAAGAGGTTCTAGATATAATACCCCAACGGTTTCTCAAGATGTGTAGAAATCAAATACACTACTCACAACAGCAACTCAATCTAAAATATGCCCAAATAAAAAGCAAGGAATGGCAAGGTCAGACATTTAGAACAAGAAGCGTCAATGGAGAAGGAGAAAAACACAAAAATATTTCATCATGGCTTGAAGCATCACAAATTTGAATTTTGACAAGCAAACAGTACAAGAGACACCCAAATTTAAGTATTTTCAAATGAGAATATCCTACATGAGAAATGCACCTTTTCATCAGAGAAAAAGGATGTAAATGATGTCAATACTGAACAAAGACAAATACTTCTACGTGTACAAAGTCTTGCTAATGCTAGTCTTAATGGTGACAGATGCACAGATAGATAACTTTATCCTGGGAAACCAATACATTGGGAAAACTTCTTTCTCTGGCAAATCTTTGATCCAGATACTCAGATAAAATTTCCAAGCTTACTTGTGACACATCGACCAGACAGAAAAGCTGGAACAGTGTTGGTACCTGGTTTGGACTGTGGCAGAGTTTGCCAAGTAGCACTGTGCTCAGAAGTAGCACTTCTCAGAAGTGAGAAGACAATGTGCAGCTAGTTGCCAGCACATGTGGCTTGCCATGGGTTGAGGAATGTGTTATTCTCAAAATATTTCCATAATACTACTGGACAGTGTATCTCTTACCTAAGTGAGGTCACATCTGGAATACTGGGTTCCAGTTCTGGGGTCCAATTTGAGAAAGACACAGAATGGCTGGAGAGAGTTCATCTGCTATCCTGTATGATCCTTGAGGCCATCGGAGCATTTCTTTCTTTGCAGCTCACTTCCTTCAAGGACAACAAGGATGTTCAATACGGCTCCATCCAGCACAGCTCCTTCCAGCCCAACAAATTCCAAGGGCAGGGAATGTGAGCCCACAGCTCCTGCCCTGGGGGTACAGCCTGTTGATTGAAGGAATCCATCAATATGTTAGCTCTACAAATGCACAAAAAGCTGTAATGGAGGGCTGGCATCCCAGTGCCACCAGGAAAGGACCCTGAGGTAGTTGAGATCAGTTTGATGCTCAATACTATAGAAAATCTGGGAAACGACAGCAATTCTTCACAGTGAAACTTAAATTATATTCCTGAATCAAATCTTATCTTTTCCAAGGTGATGTTTACTGGTGTTTTTTCTTTTACTCTGTAGGCCTAATTATGAAATTTAAAAGATGCTCCAAGATGACCTAACCCTTGCTCTCTCTTATCTCCCACGGTATCTTAATACTGAGGGAGTGTGTGGTCTTTTATAATTGCAAGGAAAGCTACCCCTGGCATTAATAAGTCTTCAGCTGGTGCCTTGAGTTCCCTGCACCAGGGAGCACTTCTAAGGGGAGATGGGCTGTTGCTCATGGACTGAGTGCTTTTCTGCTAGTCAGATTCAATACTTATTAAAATCAGTATCTGTCTTTTTCTTGATTTCACAGAATCATAGAATCAGAAAACTGCTCAGGTTGGAAAAGACCTTCAAGATCATCACATCCAACCACTATATAACCGTGCTGCCCTAGGTCTAACAACTCTACACTGAATCATGTCCATGAGCACCACATCCAAAGGATTTTTAAACACATTCAGGGATGGTGATTCAACCACCTTTCCAGCAAGTTTCTGCAGGATTTTTTTTTTGTGGCTTATGTTGCATTATGCAAGACTGTATTTTTATTATCTTTTACTTCATTATGGATAATATGTACTTTCACATAATCCCAAGCAAATATGGCACAATGTAATAGTCCAGCAAACAGTTAACTGGAGAGTTTGTGCTACTAACCTGCTACGTGGTTGGTTACTGAATCTTTCAGAGACTCATCTTTGTGAGTGATCTTACCAGGAGACTGCTAGAAACTTAGTTACCTGATTTTGGAGGGTTTCCTCTGTGGAGGATTTTGCAGTGCCTTTTGAACACTTAGGACTGTGTGCAGTTCACAGCACAGTATGCTTGCTCTGGCTTAGCAATTAGGCTCTGCAATGGGAAACTCTCCGCTATTCCCAGAGTCCTTGGCTTCTGAGCACCAATTTTTGGGGAAAAGAAACATTAAATGGTGTTTGGGATCAGTCCTCAACAAACAGAGGGGGATTGGAAAGCTTCTCCTCTCTGTATGTTCCCTTAACTAAAGTTATTGTGAAGAGAATGAATCAAGAGAAACACAAACTGTCCTAGAGCAGCTGTGTAGGATAAAAGCATACTGTTAATTTGTAACTAGGAAATGCAATGTTCTCCAGAAAAACTGAATTAAAAATAATAAACTGGAATATTTTCTTGCTTGTGCTCAGAAGCTCACAATTTCTGTCCTGTCCAGTCTTTGTGCTGTAAGGGTCTATCACAGCCTTGTTGCTGCTTGAAAATTTAGACATTTAAACAGGACTATGGACTGTGGAAGTGTTCAATAGGCAACCTCAACCTTTTGTAAATAATGGAAAAACTTGCATTATCTCATTCCAAATTTTTTTATTATAGTTATAAGTCAACCCATGCAACTTCAAAGCCATAAAATTACATGGCGAGAGTCTCAAAGTGTAATATGGAAAAAACAATAAGTAAAGCAAACAATATTATAAGGTGAACAAGTTCATCTTTCAGGTCTAGTGAACTCAAAACTAGCTCAGCAAAAATGTCATAAGTGCCACTGTAATAAAGATCCCAGTAATTGCATGCTGATACACAGCAGTGTGAGTTCTTGGTATTGGCAGAAATCGATTCAGCCTCTGGCTGTAAGGCTGCAGAAATAGGCACGTAACTGTTTATTTATTTTCTGTGCAAACTGCCAACTGTAGTTCTGCTGTATGGTCCATTCTTACAGTTCTCACTGAAGATCAATGGCTGCTAAACTTGCATATCAAAGGGAAAACAACTCTTCCACATGCTACTATTTATCTCCCAAATGATGTGAACTCTTTTTACAAAGATTGATGAATTCTTTTTTTTTTCTTTCATGTTTTTACCAGCTTCTCTCCCTTCTTTTTCCCAGACTGGAAAAAAAATGTGGTTTTATCAACATTACATTGGGAAGTCAGACTTGCTGAGTATTTTCCATCTCTCTGATGTACAAAAATGCTTAGTGTTCTTTAAAAATGTAAATAATTTTCTTTGTAGATGAGTTCAATATCAGAAAAGAGAAGTTTAGTAAGGAATCTCTGTATTAAATCTCCAAGGCGTTTTGATGAGAATTGATGACTATTTCTAAGTAATTCGTGGATATTATATCAGTGTCTGGTAAGTATAGCTGCTTCTTGGAAGCTTGTAAAAGATACTTTAAAAAGCATTTATTTTACTTTATTTGGTCTACCTGCTTTCTCTAGGGTTCAAGATTAGAAGCTTTCCTTCCAACACTTCAAAATATAAACACTTAAAAAAACCGTCCAAGGTTTGCAGCAATTATTTGTTTTGATGGAGGAGCTAGACTCATTTCTGAGCAAAGATCAGGGCCTCTCCTCATGATCATGGAAAGAAATGCCATTTACAACAGCCAGAGAATGGAAAATGTTAGCAAGTCAGAGCAAACAGAAGATAAACACTAGGCTTTCACAACACAACAGTGCAGTGTGTCCAACTTGTTATCAGTTTACAACTTCAGACTCAAAACCCTCTTTCCGAACTGACGAAGTTCTTTGTTCCTCCTTTATTGAGCTGTGCCTGGGCTGCTGTACTGTTCCCACAGTGCCTCCTGCAACACTGGTGCTGTGCAGCTAGCAGCTAGCAGAAGTTTAAAAGCTGTACAGTCCAACTTACACTGAGTGAGGGGTTTTAGTACCTACCATCATTACATTAATGACAAAGTTCTTTCTGTCTTTTCAGGCATGGAAGTAGCAATAGGTGAGGCTGCTGGTTAGACTGGATGGAAGCAATGATTCCAAGTGAAAGCAATGTAAATTGGGAAAAGTTCATCCTATATTTAAATAGCTATAAACTAACCAGATCAATGAAATGTGATGGTTCACATTGCAAACATACCAATTCACCAGGTTTAGCATTCAGACATGAGAACATGTGTCACGAAAACAAGAAACAACCACTCTCCTGCCACAACACAAACTTACTTGTCCGTGCTTTTCCCTCAGTCTCTCCTAATTGCAGCGCAAGACTGACCTCAGCTCCATGTTCCTAGTCCCCCATTTGTTTGTGAGAGTGGCACAGGGGCACTTACAAAAGACTTTTGTCTTCCACAGTCCCACAGGCAAGATTTTTCACAGTCCCACAGGCAGGATTTTTCACAGTTTTTCCTTGTTATCCTCTATTAGCTGCAGTAGTGTTCTTCACCTGGGGCATGGAAACCCCACATCTTCAGGTGCTGGGCTGGCTGCCAGGTGCCAGCTGGTCTGCAGTGAGCGTGGCCCAGAGGCACTGGAAGGAGTGCAACAGCCCGAGGTCCAACAGCCCGAGGTCCCTACAATGTTTCAGCAATGCCTTGCTGGCTAAATAAGTTGCTCAGTGTCAGAATGGCTCTGTTTTGAAATGTCTATCCCTCTGCTTCTCATCATGTCTCTACTCTTCCCACAACCTGGAAGAGGGTAAGAAAGAAGTTGGCTCCACGCCATGGAAAAGCATGGAGGGCAAAAGTGACTGATAAAAGCTATCTCCTCTAAACCAGGTCCTCCACGACCTGAAATGAAGTGCAAATTGCTGACCGTGATGTTCGGAGGTAAGTCTCTCAGAAAGCTACAAATAATTGAGTAAACCACCCAAAAAAGAGCAAAACATTAGCTTAACACCAGCTGTGGTGTGCCTTTGTGAAACGTAGGGGAGGCTGTGAGATTAACCTTATTCCTCCCCCTGCTTCTCCATGACCTGAGCTCCTATCATCTGTGAGAAGACAAACTACCCCTGTTTTGTTGTAGACAGAGCTCTAGTAACAATTCTGGAAATCATTCTGCAAGTGGAAGGACAGACATGCCAGGAGACATGCTATATTTGTGCCAACACTATGACTTGCCCAGCTCCACTCAAGTCCTGCAGTTACCCTAAGGAGCTATGCTCCTCTAACTAAAATCTTGCTCTCACTCTCTCTGTTTTTCTTTTGAAGATGCACTTTTCTCTTTACTTTAGGAGTAGCCTACGCGCCTTTTGGACTGACTTGCCCTTTTCCTTGTGGTGTTATCAAAGACATAAACAAGCCTTTCCAGCACTTGTCTAGTGACAGACAACAATCTTTTTCACACTATAAAACATTTTCCATTGAGAAGCCAATTGCATATAGCTGTATTAGTCCTTATAATTAATGTTTCAAGTCAGCTGAGGATGTGTTATGTGGAAGCTGGAATGTGGCTTCTTTTAATTCAGAGTGACAGTAAACATATGTATATGTCTGCCTTGTTGATGCTTTGCATATTGATACAAAAGCTGTAGCACAAAGATCTCCAGTTTCTTACACAGGACTCACTTTCTTCCCTTTTGCTACCCATAAATCTTCAGGGTCATCTGTTCCTAAAAGTGATGTACAAAGCAGATACAATTCAAGAAAGTGGGAGGAGGCTTTGATTTCACAGGATAGCATAGTGGGCTGTCTGGATTCTTTAGGTGAAAAAGTCAGCGGAAGCTTCTCAATGGTGAATTCTTCAAGGGCAGATCACCGGTAATTATGACTCATATCCACATATTTAAAAGACACAAGCACACAGCAACACCTTTCTCTTAAAATCGTGATGATCAAAACATATCTGAGACTAGTATGTGGAAGATGTGTCTCATTAAGTCCCATCCATAGTGATCCCCCTTTCCTTAACCAAAGTTCAAGCAGAATTTTTGCATTTACCCTCTGTGCAGGGCATAGTGAAAAGCTGCCTCAGTCTGGAAAAGTCTGCAGACAGTCTCGAATGTTTTTTGAAAGTCTTTAAATCTTGAGAACAGGCCTTTTTCATTAACTAATATGGTTGTAATGTACCCAGTCCCATAGCTCTTGGGAAGTCATTCATCCTTTCCCTGTCAAATGGTCACGAAGTAGGCATATTATGTCTGTGTGAAAGACAAAAAACATGCTTTTGGGAGGCAGAATGATTCATTTGATCAAACCAGCTTGACTGCTGCTTTTCACACTCACAGGCAACCCATACCACCCGGGGTGTGCAGCAACCTACGAGCACATCCATTCGTGTGCTGTGCTGGGGAAGAGTGGGCTCAGCCATTGGTGGCAGGAGCTGGAAGGACCAATACCCACTTCATTCCATCTCAGCAAGCAGGGAGATATTCTCACTGCTGTGAGAATATCTTATGAGAAAAAAACTTTTTTTTTTTTTTTTTTTTTTTTAAGTTTATTTAAAGAAAAAAGAAACTCAAAGATGCTTGTGTTAAGAAGGAAATATCTTAAGGCTTCTTCTGGATGAGCTATATTTTTTGTCTGAATTCCATCTGACAACCTTATGTCTTTGGCACTTGAAATCTCCTCTAGAGGGAAACTTTGGGTCTTCTGAATCCTACTGTTGTGATACAGAAAACTTTGATGATCTCTTGAGGTTGAGTAAATTTATTAATAATGTAAGCTAAATGAAAGCCTACTGTGATTTTTTTTTTGTGCTTTGAACCGAAGTTGTTAACAAGTGCTAAAAACAAGTTAAAATGTAACACTTTGTTGCTCAGTTTGTCAAACGCCTCTTTCTTTTACCTAAGAGCAGGAATGTCTGGCAAGAGATTAATTTGTATTGTTTCGTCACATGACTGGTACTCTCCAATTTAGAGATTTATATCAAACTCTGAGGTCTGTATTGAGGTGTCTATGAACACACTGTATGTCTTTTCAAAACTCAAGTTCACAGAAATCCTATTAAATAAAAAAAATAAAAATAATAATAAAAAAAGCTGCAGATATTCATTGGTACTTCATGAAGGCTTTTGTCCTGCAGGCAAAAGATTATCATTATCGTCAATTTTAGGGCCCTTTATGGTATGGACTGTAGCTTCAAGATGGGAGAAGGTGAACTTTTCCTAAATCTCATCAGTGGGGTAAACCAATTTTTCGATGAAAGCCACAGCTAACATGATTTCAGTTTCAAGAGCCACCAAAACAGACACATTTCTGGGCCCAAAATGTCTTTGAATTTAGATGTGTGATGTTTCATTTAACTCTCCTGAGCTCAAGATGCTAGTCTGAAGAGTCTAAATGTTCCATGTCTCTACAATTCGGTGCAGGCTGAGTAATCATCAAGAAATAGCATCAAATGAGGGTCAAGTCTTCCCAGCACTGAAAGAGAGGAGATGAAATGAATAGTCTAAGATAAAACTAGTTGGGTCAAACATAGTTAACTTGACTTACTGGTGGAGATCTATTTTAAACTTAACAACTTCGTATTGTTGCAGGCATTGCACTATCAGACTGGTTAGCACCAGTTGCTCTCCCGGATATGCACTCCAGATTAACCAGGCATGAAGTAACAGCTCCTTAATATAGGTTTCTATTTTTGTTAGCAGGTGTAATCCTCACCAGGTAAAATTTCTCTTTCCTTCCCCTGATACATGCAAGGTTTTAATAACATCAGTTGCTTTAAAACAGAGACAAAGCAGTTGAGAGTAGTCATTTGTGAGTGTTTTACACTGGTGCATAAAAGTATATGGAACCATGAATTTAGGTGCACTTGTTTTATTGCTTTTCCTTGACAATGCTGAAGTCTTTCCACTGCCTTTAAGTATATGATGTTTGTAAAGCGTGAGTTAAATCACCACTCAGCCAAAGATACCAGCTGTTGGAGAGTACTAGCTAGAGATGTACCTCTGCTTTGGTCTCCATTATCAACTTTTCTGTTCTTTTTTCATCCCCTTGTGGACTCAAAAACAGTTGAGAATTATTCAGAATATTCTGTCTTTGGTAGGAGACCCCCAAATCATCTTTTTTTATGAAATCAAAAAAGCCAACAATAACGGAAACAAACAACTAAAACAAAATATGTCAGTTTTGGTAGCTGTTATAAAACAAGAAAGTCAATTACTCCCTGTTTTTTCAAAACAAGGATTTAATTAGGAGGGTGGTAAGGAAAAAGGACCATAAGCTTTTAGCTAGAAATACTCATATTTTATCCAGCTCCTGCAGCCTTGCCTCAGTAAGGCACCTTCTTGCCGGTATCAGGTCACCCTGCTCAGGGAATCTCATGCTCCTGGAAGGAGTCCCAAATACCAGAGCCCTAGCACTCCCCCAGCTTGGCTGTGTATCGTACACACGCAGCAGCCCTAATGCAGCTGAGCTGGATGCTGGTCAACCCCAGTTCAGGGAGACCCAGTGGCTGGGCAAAATGAGTTTAACAGCTGATAGCATCCCTTTGTTCTGCCCACAAGGGAGGCTGGACTGGGTGAGCAAACAGCTCTCAGTAATTAAGAAATCCTTTATTAACTCTAACGCCTGCTAGGAGAAGTAGGGGAAGTTGGAGAGACGGTGAAACTCCAAGTCAGGGAAGAACAACAGCCACTTAGGAACCCTTCATTATGCTGACAGCAGTGCCAGGAGGTCTCTGACTTACAGCTAGCAATACATTTGTCACAACGACTTGAAATCTAAGCTTGTTTATTGCATTGTTGTCTGCGATTGCTGTCAGATGTGTGGGTAACCCATTTGTGAATGGGCTGTCCAGTTCTGTGTTCCCACTTGTGTTAACACAGTGTGCATCTGGGAAGGAAGCATTTTATCTGCAGAACAGATACTTTAATAATAAAGGAAGGAAATTCAAAAATAGAGATAAGGAGGAATCACTTCTACATGAATCAGTTCTATTTGTAATTTCCTGGTGTTTCTAGATTCAAGACCTGCAGGACAAATATTTTGGCACCTGCAAGTGCCCTGTGCTCATCTTTGTGGCCCTTCTCTGAATCTGCTCCACATCTTCCTTGTGCTGAGGGCTCCAGGCCTGGACATAATACTCCAGATCTCCATGAGGGGCTTTAAAAGGGCAGAATAGAGGGGGAAAATCACCTCCCTAACCCTGCTGGCCACTGCACCAAAAGTGCAGCCCAGGATTCTGTTGGCCTTCAGGGCTGCAAGAACACATTGCTGGACAATGTCCAGCTTTCTGCCCATCGGACTTCCAAGTCCTTCTCCACAGGGTGGTTCTCAATGAGTTATTCTCCCAGTTTGTATACGTATCTGGGATTGCCTTGACCCAAGTGCAACACCTTGCACTTGACCTTGTTAAACCTCACTAGGTTCTCTTGTACCCACTTTTCAAGCTTGTCCAGGTCCCTCTGGATGGCACCCTTTCCTTACATTGTGTAAACTGCATCATTCAGCTTGGTGTCATCTGCAGACTTGCTGAGGGTACACTCAATCCCACAATCTTGGTTGTTGATGAAGTTGTTGAAGAGCACAGGCCCCAAGACCAGCCCCCAGAAGACACCATTCAACAACAGCCTCCACGTAGGCTTGGAGCGACTGCCCACAATCCTCTGGCTGTGATTATCCAACCAGTTCTTTAACCATTGAGTATTCCACCCCTCTAAACCATGTCTCCAATTCAGAGATAAAGATGTAATGTGGGGCCATGTACAAGACATTGCACAAGCCCAGGTAGGAAACACCTGTTGCCCTTCCTTTGTGCACCAAAATCCTCTCTCCATCATAGAAAGCCACCAGATTGGTCTGGCATGATCTGTTGGCTGCC